GCTGTTGTTCAGCATCTTAGCTGTAGAGGGCAGTGTCACTGGCCCTCACATGTGGGATCCGAACCGGGGCCCTCGGGCGTCCCAAGCCAGCTCTTAACCATTGTGCCACTTGGCCGGTCCTGTAGTTTTCTTTTTTTGTGTTATCCTTACCAAGTTTTGTAGACCTCATAAAGTAAGTTAGGAAGTATGGCCTCTTCTTCAGTTTTTTGGAAGAGTTTAAGGAGGACAAGTATTAGATCCTCTTGGAATGTTAGGTAGAATTCACTAGTGAAGCCATCTGGTCCTGGATTTTTGCTTTTGGGGAGGCTTTGGATGATTGTTTTAATTTTCTTACTGTTGATCAGTCTATTTCAATTTTCCATTTCTTCATGATCCAATATAGACATGTTTTTCTGATGAAATGCAAAATTTTCTGCAATGAAATCCAAATTCATCAACAGAAGGTGTATATGCTTTGTTCACAGCTCTAAGAATAATCATATGTCTAGAGGTATATACGTATATGCAAAACTTATCCATAAACTTAGCATCACAGAATTTTAGAACAGGAAGAGATTGCAGAGGGAATATACTTCAGTTCTCCATTTTCAGATGGATGAAACAGAGACCAAAGGTCATAAAGGCCATACCAAAGTCACACCCACTGATAGCGATGGGATTGAGACATTCTCAGATTCTACAGTTTTTTCACCACCACACTCTTCATCTCTGAATAATCATGACAGACATACAAACACACAGAGATGTAGACACATGAAAGGACATGTGGAGCTTATTCCTCTTAGATCCTGGAAATATTCTTAATCTGTATGGTTACTGTGAAGAACAAAGCAACAACTGGAGACTCTGGAGACTAGGAGATTTTTTTCCCCCCAATTTTATCATGGGTTGGATTTTTTGTTTTCATGGTTCATGGAAGTTTGTTTGTTTGTTTGTTTATTAGTGTATTACCCAGCATCTAACCAGGAAATAAAACTACTTGAGTTTTTACAACTGAGGGACTTGAATGTAGAGACATGGTTAAACAGGTGATGGAAGAGATTAGAAGTTAAACCTAGACTTTAGCAAGAGCAGGAAGTGATAATCACTTCTAGGCTTGAAGGACAAGAAGAGGAAACTGGTATTGGAGCCCAGGGTCCAGAATCTTACCTTGCAGATTCTGGAACCACTGGGGTACTGTTTTGCAGGAGCAAAAGACACAGAGGATATCACCTCACACCTGTCAGAATGGCTGTTATAAAAAAGACAAGAAATGACAAGTGTTGGCAAGGATGTGGAGAAAAGGGAACCCTTGTGTACTGTTGGTGGGAATGTAAATTGGTGCAGCCACTATGGAAAACGGTATGGAGATGCCTCAAAAAATTTAAAATAGAACTACGATATGATCCAGCAATACCACATCTGAAGGAAGCAAAACACTAACTTGAAAAAATATTTGCACTCTCATGTTCATTATCTACAAAAGCCAAGATAAGGAAACAACCTAAGTGTCCATTGATGGATGAGTGGATAAGGAAATTGTGGTATATATGTAATGGAGTATTATCCAGCCATAGAAAAAGGGAAGTCTTGCCAGGTGCGACAATATGGTTGAACCTTGAGGGCATTATGCTAAGTGAAATAAATTCAGAGAAAGACAAACACTGTATGATCTCATCTTTATGTGGAATCTAAAAACAAAAACCAAACAACTCCACCCTACTCCTCCCGGG